TTTTTTTTTGTTGATGTTTGTTTTCTGTTCCCACAGTTCAATCTTCACAGAATGCTATACCAGCACCGCCAGCAAGCTTTAAACTGAGGGAGGATAATATGTCAGGAAGCTCAATTAAAGGTAGATTTTCTTCGTCGTATAATTTATACAAATCTGAGCTGAAAAAGAAAATAATGTGACCGCATAACATTTTTTGCCACCTATTTTACTCGACTCAAGCTAGCTAAAAGTGACACTTATGGTACGAGCATATGTGAGCATGTGATAGCGAATTTGTTATGGCGAATGTTGATAAAAATTGCTTGAATCATTAAATCTAATAATACCTTACGCAAAAATGCTCTAATCATTAGCTATGTATTACATCTAGAATATTTTGAACACTTTTATATGTCAAATTACTATTGCCTCAGGTTTTGGAAAAAAATTAAAAAAAATTACTAGTGCCTAAAAAATGCTTGAAATGGTTGAACTGAAAACTAAGATTGTAATTTTTTTTGAAACTGTTTACTGGATTTCACCAAGCTATTTGGTCTTTGCTTATACTTTGATTTACAGCTCCGAGGTCATTTTTCTCGCTATCAACATTTCGGAGCAAAGGAAGTGACTCAAAACCTCGATGATCTTTCCCGACTGTATCTTTCACGGTACAAGTGATTGCATCTGCCTTTCCAAATGCAGCCGTGGATTAGATTATTCTTTTTACAACCGTTAATTAGAATATTGCCTGCACATTTGTCATGGTACATGCTTCTTCATGGACTTGATGTGGCTTTCGAGGGGGACGTGGTTATATAATTCTTGTAGATTTTGGAGTACTGTTATGATGTTGTATATTGTAAAGACTTCATAGTTCCAATTGGTGGAACAATGATGTGATTTTGGTAGCTAAGGCATTCTTTTTATGTGACTCATGTTTGTAATGTGTTCGTTTTTTTTTTTCACCCTACTCACCGTGCTAGTTCGAGTATAATCAGGTTATCTGAGAACCCTAACTCGAGCTAAGCTATGCCGAGAGACATCAACCTTCTACCGGCCTCCGAGTATACCCAACCGAGCTAACTCCCGAGCCTGACTTAGTTGCTATATCACACATCAAATAGTCTTGTGCCAAGACTATCCTATGTAATGTACTCAAAAATCAACAAATAAAGTCATAAATCATAATCTATACTACAAAATCTTATTATTCGTTCATCAACTACCTAATTAGTAAAAATAAATCCCACAATGACAAAATAATTGGTGATAATATATTACGTTCTCACGGTTTTTGCTATGAAGCCAACAGTTGGTTCCATAGTGGAGTCAATCTTCTATATACAACAAGTAAACCTACCATATTCGTTGGTTACTTAAATAACACTAATATAATTTTATTATCGTGGTATGTTTTATTTGTTGTATACAGAAGATTGACTCCACTGTGGAGCAAACTATTGGTTTCATAGCAAAACTGAATGTTCTCATTATCCCTCGGATTATGATATTGTAATTGCCCTCACCTTCTTGAAATGGAAATGTCAACCTCCACAACAAAATCTTGTCTAAATTCCAGGGCAACCCTCAATCCTTATACCAATCACATAGGATTTTGATTCTTTGTGAGGTCAGAATTGTAATTTCACTTTACTCCCAATAGAAAGGAAGTCTTGGATTATAAGCCAAGTAAAATAAATAACTTTTTTTTTTTTTTTTTTGATAATTACGTGCCTCCCATGTAAAGAATTCCTAATACTTCATGGCTACCACCACGTTTTGGATTTGGTCCCCCTTTTTGTCTGATGTTAGTTGTTACAAAATTCTTTGAAACAGGTCACAAAAAGAGAGAAAAAAAAATAAAAAAAAATGGCATGTTTAGTCCCAGGAGTACTAATCAAGCTCCTACAAACCATAAACTCCAACCACAAAATCAGGGGAGAACACAGGTCCATCCTCTTACAGGTCATCAGCATAGTCCCGGCTATCACGGGCTCCGAGCTTTACCCGGACCACGGCTTTTTCCTCAAAGTCTCCGACTCGTCACACTCGACGTACGCTTCCCTCTCGAAAACCGACACTGACCTCATCCTCAACAACAAGCTCGGGCTCGGCCAGTTTTTCTACGTCGACAGGCTGGCGGCCGGGAATCCCGTGCCCGTCCTGACAGGTGTCAGGCCAGTCCCGGGCAGGCACCCGTTTGTCGGGAGCCCGAAAGACCTTATGCAGATGCTGGAAGGGCCCGCCGCGGGGAAGTTTGTCGACAAGTTAGAGGACCTGAGTGCAAATAGGAAGAAGATTGTTATTAAAGAGGAGAAGGCAGGGGTTGCCTCAAGGTACATGCAAGGGGTGGCGGTGAGGGGCCAGAAATTGGAAGGGAAGGAGATTAGGGACCAGAAGGAGAATAATGACAACTTTGAGGGTAAAAAGGAAAAGGTTGGTTTGAGGGTTAAGCAGATTAATGAGCAGCCTAATGGTCAGGTATGGATAATTGAATTTATTTTTATTTTTTTCCCTTATTATTTTGGGTCTAACTGTGGAAGTATTATTTGAGTTTTGCAATGAAATGTTAGAAAATATTGCTAAATTGCATTTTGAGTCTCGCTGATTTAACGTCATAGCAATTTTAGCTCCAAGATTCTAACAGTTCGTCTTTTTGTCCTGTAATTTATTATTTTGCAGCAATTTCAGTCCTCAATTGCAGCAAATTTCCATTTTATATATTTGGGATGAATTTTTTATTAGCAATTTAAGTCCTGTAATTTATTATTTTGTTGCAATTTCAGTCCTTAAATGACTGAAATTGCAGCAAAATATTAAATCACACGACAAAAAAGACAAAAAGTTGGAACGTTGAGACAAAAGCTGCTACAACATTAAACCAACGGGACTTATAATAATCCATATTTGTCTAGAAAATATGTACATTTTGGTTATGTATGTATGTATACAGGCAAGGGCATCATCAAGTCCTGAGAAGTCAGATACAGTGTCAAAAAACAGTAAAGCAGAAGAAAATGTGGCAATAATATCCTCCAAGTTTGTGGCACTCAAAACTTCAAACAAACAAGAACACATCATTAATTTCAATGTTCCTACTAACAAAAAGCAATGTGCTGCTGACATCATATCATGGTCCAGTTTGCCACCCACTCTGCTTAAGCCTGCAAAGGTATAATAATTATTTATCTTAATTTTTTAATTAAATTACTTGAAGCTTTTATTATTATTATTATTATTATTATTATTATTATTATTATTATTATTATTATTGCCATGATAATGATGCAATTTCATGAAAATGCAAAGGGATTATTGGTTATTGTTACTTTTTTTTTTTCTTTTTTTTTTTTCATTGTTAGTCTCTCTAGATTTAATTTATTTATTTATTTATTTTGTACTGATATATATATTTGTGTTACTATATATTGATACAAGGGAATGATTAGAAGGGGAAATCTGGCTGCTTTGGTAGCAGCACAAGCACAAAAAGAAGCAAATGCAGCTGCAAATCTTGCCAAGTGCCTCAGGTTAAATAGACAATAATGCCCTCAGTTATTTTATGTTAAACAAATCTTATTGAACCTTCTGAGATTGTCGATATACGGTTTTGCTATGGAGCTATCGGATGACTCGACTTATGTTATTTATAAATAGTGTATTGACACGTGTCTTGCATCAAATACACACTAGTATTAGTACCCATGTACAACATGAGTGTTGTGTGTAAAGTTATTTATGTCTAATACCAAACTTAACTCCAAAGCAAAAATAACATAAAAACAACATCACGAAGCATAGATTTTCGCCATGTCAGCATCCGAAGCGTGAGAATCTGCCACCTAGGCTCAACACGTTTTGAATAAGTATATAAGGAGGGATATAAGGAGGGATTGGACACATGTCAATCCACAAAGTTATGAATGTCTCCATAATAGAGTCGTCTGATTACTCCAGAATTATCGATATAATATAGAGAGAGTGTATCAGCAAGAAGAATTCAAGAGCCCCATGCAAGATTGTGAAAAATAACTTCATTATGAAAATTTTATATTCTAATTTTTTTTCTTATCTCAACCTAAAGCATCACCCCTTCAATCACACGTTGTTTTTTTATTGGTTAGATAATAACAGATAATAGTTAGGTAATCGTATTCTGCTAACAAATATAAATACTTACTTACTAAAATGTTATAACATTAAATAAAAAACATACGACATTTCATAGCATAAATATGTACTTTTATAACCAAAAAATAAAATGTATGATTGACTAACATCAAACATTTGTGTTACTAAAATTATTGCTCTTTATTTTCTCATGTTGTCAGTATATTTTCCGATCTCCATTCATCCGCTTCGCCCGAGATCCCACACCTCTCCCTCTCCAAATTCTTCACCCTCCAACAGCTCATCGAAAAATCGGAAACTACAACACCAGCTCACGAACTCCTCCAGAGTTCACAACCCAGCCTAATATCACTCCAAGAAAACAACAAGCCGAACAAGAAAAACGGCCCACCACTCCGCAAAACGGGCTGCAAGAGCCCAAAGCCACCCTCACCATTCGACCTCACGCCCGCCGACAAGCTGGAATGGTCAAAGGGAGACGGGTCAAAAGTGATCTCCCAAGTCAAAGAGGTCCTAAAAAACGAGGCACAATCTTGGTTCCTTAGCTTTCTCGAACAAGCGCTGGAAAACGGGTTCAGACAAGAAAAGAAAGCGAAAGACAGGTTGACTTTGGAGCACAACAGCCACATCGCGTTGACTTTGTCGCATTTGAAGCAAGCAAACGAGTGGCTCGATAAGGTGAAGAGGGAGAGAGGTGATTTGGTGGGCACAGTCGAAAGTTTGAAGGAGAAAGTGTACGCGTGTTTGCTGCTTCATATAGACTCTGCAGCCTCGGCTTTGGAAAGTCGAAAAACAGCGTGACGTGATGGATATTTTAACGAGCCGAAGAACAGAAAATCGACAGATGTTTAGTTTTATTTTTACTATGTTTACTTAAGGTTTTCATGAGTTTCATTAATTTATTATGGGTTTTGTGGCTTGGGGAAAGGATGTGTGTTGCAGAGGTTTTTTCTGCAGAGCTCTATTAATTTGACTCTTGCATGGCTGGCTGCAAAGGTTATATGATTTATCCATGTCAAGTTTGGGATAATTCATAAGGATTAATATTACCACAATTAACTATCCACACCTATATATTTGTGGATGTCCACAGATATGTAAAATAAATTAATAATATGAAAATTATTTATAAAGGCTAATAATTCCTATGATTAAAATAAAGTTAATGTAAGTTTAGTTATATTTTTCATGCATGGATGTTAGATAAATTTCAATAATGTAAAATGAATTATATTTTATCGTTTGGAAAAACAAAAAAAAAAAAAAAAAAACAAAAAAAAAGGTAAGATGAGTTATACATTGCATGAATGTAAAATAAGTTTAAAAACCATAATGTGGGATGAGTTTCACTTTTACAATCTTGAAATATCGGTTTAATTAATTTTGAGTTAATTAAACAAGTTGCAACTTTATGAATTTAATGGTTCCATACAATTTTTCTTACTTGTGAAATCTATGAAGAAAAGTGATAAGGCTTGATTAGTCCTAAAATTCATTTTCGTTTTGTGTGTTCCTTAAAGATTTCTAAAATAGATAGAAAATAGAGTTTTTGGACAAAGTCTCTAAGAACTTGGTTGAGTTTGTGTTATATATTATTTATAAGTGTTGTTGAGAAAAAATATTGCATAACAAAAATTGAGTGTTGTTGATTGCCTCTTTCTCTATCATTAGCTATTATATCCAACAATCATAAACTCTATTTACATGGAGACAGAGACAATTAAGGTCATGAACCAAGACCTTGCGAATTTGAATAGATTTGATGGTTTGAATTTTACTTGGTGACAAGACAAGATAAAATTTTTTCTCACAGCCCTCAAGATATCTTACATCCTTGATCCTATTATGGCTCCTCTACCAAAATCAAATGAAAAAGATACGCCATATTTTATATGCCTTATTTAATAGGCTATGATCTCCACACCAATAATTCGGTTAGAGAAATTCGGGAGGCTCTAGAATATAAATATAAAACGAAAGGTCCTAAAAAAATTCTCACTTCCCAATATTTTGATATCAATTTTTTTGACAAAAAACTCACTACCTCAAAATTCATGAGTTGCAACTCGGTGCCATCGTGGCTAAAATACCTTCAAGTTGAAGAGGCACCGAAAACAGATTCTCAACAATAATGAAGATTACTCCTTAGAAGAGATTCAAAAACATCTCCGAGAGTAAGGTATAAAATAGTAGATGAGTTCAATGGTGAGACGAACAAAGCAAATATGGTCGTTCGAAATTTTTTGCTCATAAAAAAAATATTTTCTGTCAAAAGAAAAACCATGAAAAATCAAGGGCAAGAAAACTTTTGTTTTGTATGTGGAAAACATGGACATTTTGCAAGCGAGTGCGAGGGCTAAAGTGAATGCAATTGATGATGAGATCGTTGCAACTTTAAGCCATGTATATATTGTCCAAAGGAAGGTGCAGGGATGGCGGTATGATACATGTGTCGCGTTGATGTTACAATCTCTTCTCAAAACATTTTAATATCTAAAAGAAGATCAAGAGATTCAAATGGAAAATGAAAGAAAATTCAAGGTGTTGGGCAAAGGCACAGTTGAGATTGTTTTTACTTCAGGAAAAAATATTAAACATATTAGTGTGTCGTATGTTATCAATATAAATACAAATCATGTCAGTAGTGATTTACTTAGCAATCCGAGTATAAAAGTTGTGTTTAAATCCAATAAGCTAATTTTAACAAAATTGGGGAATTTTGTCGACAAGGGTTATCCTACAAATGAAATCATTAAACATTGTATTGAAAATAACATGAATAAAGAGGCATCTACTTCTGGTTGAGCACTATAATAAGAATTATCAAACGTGTTTTATTAATTGTGATAAAAATAAATTTAAAAACTGTGAAATATGGTAAATAAAATGATGAAAAAGCTTTTTCAAATTGTTGAAAGATCATCGAATTTGTTTGATTTAATACATAGTGATTTTTAGAAATTAACGGGGTAAAAACTAGAGGTGGCAATAGGTATTTTGTTACATTCATTGGTAACTGTTCAATTTTTTTCTATGCATTTTTATTAAAAAAGAAACAAAAATAAAAGTGACATTATTTCCGATACAACTCTAGTTGGATAAACCGGAACCAACTAAGTGTGGATAAGCCGCCGTGGCGACCTGACAACATAAACATGATTTGTGACATGAAGATAACCAAAGGAAAGGATGGGGATCACTAATATGACGACCTGATGAGTCTAGACGACTTAGAGGAACTCAAACGACCTGGGAAGAGTGAACGACCCAAAGAAGACAAGCCGACTCGACAGAGGAAGAACGTTTCTGGGGCTGATGACTAGAGGAAAGATGGTCATGACGATCTTGTAGTTATAGAAGACTTAAATAAACAAACTTACAAGGAATTACAGAATCTAGCAAAGATAAGAAGAAATCTAATGATGACTATGATATGATTAGGGTTAGGATGACCACTAAGCATATAAGATCATAGGCAGACAACAGGCACTCGAGTAGGGAGGATCTATGTATATGATAAGGAGGTCCATTGTCCCCCTCCCCCGCTTCCCCCTTAGTGTGTGTGTGTAGATCATTTTTCACAATTCACACAATTATACTAAAATAATAATTGTATTACTCTTTCTACTAATAATTGTATACTACTTTTTTAAATTTAAATAAATTGAATGTATGGTAAATACTTGAAAACTTAAAAATTGGAATTTTCTGAAAAAGAAGACTAAGATATGCTTAATGGAAAAAAAATATAACCAGACTGTTAGTACTGAGTCAATCATTAATAAATTCATGAGCTCAGAGAGGGTTCAATCTAAACTAAATTTGTTATTGTCAAGATTTGAAACTTTATAACTTATATTGCACTATTATTATATATAGTTTCATAATACAACTTTCTGTTTTTTATGTACATTAAATTAAATCTATGATTATTAAAAAAATATATAGTCTCCTCAAAATAAGTTTCTGGATCTGCCCTTGCACCGGGCAGACTGACCAAGGATAGTCGGGCAATTCGGGTAGCAGATATCTCCTATAAAAGGAGATATAACATTAGATGAGTCTTGTTCATATATTTTATGTCAACTATAATTATATATAGTTTCAGCATTTTTAAAATACTTAACAATGTATAGTAATAACAATTAAAGTTCACATAAGTTTTATGCTTAATAATACTTGATCTACAGTTAATTTAAAAATGTAACTTATATTATATTTATTGATACTTTTTTTAGTCATATTCTATCTTATAATTGAAATGGTATGAAAATTGAAAAGTTAAAATTTTTAATATAAATAAGTAATGATAAATTTGGATTTTTTTTTATTTTATTTTTTGTTTAACCAAATCATATCTAAATTTTTATATAACTAGACTAGATAGTCATTCGAAAAAAATTAAAAAATAAGTAAAAATCTCTAGAACTTTGAACCGAACCGAATTGATCCATCTGATAGTTCGCATACAAAGTCGAACCCTACCAAAAAATATAAAATTTGGATCGAACCAATTTTTGGTACGGTTCCGGAGATTAAATTGTAGCTATTTCCAAATTTCATTCATCACATACGCAAACCCCCTATTTTGGTACTTCATTCTGCATTTAGCCTAAATCCAATCCTGTAAAAATTGGATTCCATCCAAGATCATCCAAATTACGAACCCAGGATTCATTTATCAGGCTCGAAATTCTGTAGTTGTTAAACCCTAATCAAAGCTCCCACACGCGTTATTCATCCACCCGAGGGCTCACATTCGAATTTTCCTGGTATTTAATTTTCTGTCGCGCATCAGTTTTAATCAATTGCCATATTCAGACTGTTTTTTTTTTCCCTTAACGCTGGAATGTTATGTTTATGTTATCACTGATCATCACTTGATTTGTGTGTTAGTGTGTGTGTGTGTGTGTGTGTG